TGGAAAACAGGTCTGGACAACGGGCAGGCAAGTCTAATACCTGCACACTTTCACCACAAAGCCACACTGTTGTAACAATGTCAGCATTAATAATCCCTTCACAGATCTGTGAGTTACCTGCCATGAGCACTTACACATCCCCATACCATCACAGATTTTGGCTTTTGAACTTTGCGTTCATAAAAATCCAGAGTCCTTTTCATCTTTGATACAGAGGGCACAACGTCCATGATTTCCAAAAATAAATTGAAATGTGGACTCAACAGACCACAGGACATTTTTGCCCTTTACATCAGTCCATTTCAGATGAGATCAGGTCCACAAAAGCTGATGATATTTGTGGGTGTTGCTGATATACAGTATGGCTTTTTGCTTTGTATGGTAGTTTTTACTCCATTGTCAATGTAGTAATGAACTGTGTTCACTGACACAGTTTTCTGAAGTGCTCCTGAGCCCAAGTAGTAATATCCATTAAGGAATGATGTTGGTTTTAATAATGAGGGATCGGAGGCCCCTCATTATTACTTACTTGCGCTTACTTCCAAATATTTCTCCAGATTCCTTGCAATTGTACCTTGACAAACAATCCTAAACTGTTGGACTATTTGCTCACACGGCTGTTCACAAAGTGGTGAACTTCACTCGTCCTTGCTAGTGAGCATCCCGAGGCTTTTCAGGGGTGCTTCCTTTATATCCAGTCATGACACTTATCTGTTTCCAATAAACCTGTTCACCTGTAGAATGTTCTAAACAAGTGTTTTTGAGCATTCCTCAACTTTCCTAGTCTTTGGTTGATGCTGTTTCAACTTTTTTGCAACCTGTTTGCAGGCATCAAATTCCAAATGATTGAATATTTGCAAAATCACAATAAGGTTTTCCTTTTGGACATAAAATATCTAGTCTTTGTAGTGTATTCAGTTGAATACAGGTTGAAATGGATTTGCAAATTGTCGTATTATGTTCTTTATTTAAAACGCAACATCCTAACCATTGGAATTTGGGTTCTTCAAAAGCATACCAATCTAAGCAACATTCTACTACAATCCAATATTTTAGTCAGATTCAGATTACATTACATCAAATCCAGTTCACATTGATTTGATGTAATCAAATGTAATATTCAGATGATCATTTACTGCCACTTGGTAAAAAAAAAAATAGCAAAGCAAAGCAGATGACTTACAGTAATTCTTATTGCTATAAGGATGTGGAGACAAGAAAATAAAAGTACCAATTAAACTAGATAAAAGCAGTCTGAGTGTGAGGAAAAAGCTGCTGCAATTGGTTCAAGGTTGAGAGGGCTAAAAAGAAACATGAAATAAAACATAAAATTAAAGATCCGAATACTTTTAATAGAGAAAGAGGGAAGTTACGTATATAGATAGAAGCCATAGTTTTTATCATTGGCTCTGTTAACAAGATGAAGAATCACTGAGCCAGAAGTGCTTTCAATATAAAAAAAAGAACAAATAGGGTACACAGTTAGTTATTAGCATAGTAGCTGTGTTATTGGCTCTGTCCATAAAAGACACACAGTCAAAAACTGTAGCATTTATTCAAGTGTACTTTATAGCGATTCATCTTTAAGTTAATAGCAGCAATAATTATAAATAATACAGACTTAGCAATAATAAAGAGAGCAGAATAAGCAAAAATGGTCAGCAAAACCTGGAGCTTACTAGATATACAGCAGCACAATAGCGAAGACAATGTTATTCAAGCCTCTCTGACTATAAATTTGATTAAAAAAAAGCCATTTTTTAAACTGAGACCTGAAAGTAGAGAGGGTATCTTTCTCACAGAGAAAAAAATGGGAAACTTTATCACAGGGAAAGGGTTTGATATCAAAAACTCAGCATCACATTCAATGTTTGCAAAACTTCAAGAACTACAAGTAAACTTGTAACATCAGAGCTAAAATTACAGTTGGGAGTATATAAGACAATAGATTTCTTTACAAAATAATCTATTTTTGTAAGAAGAATAATTTAAATTGTATTTTGCCTTTAACTTGGACCACATACAGCTTGTGTGTTATATTACAGGCTTATTTTTATGTTGCCCCTACATCAATGCAAATTTTAAAAAAAATATTTTTCAGCTCTGGACGTCTCTGCTGTCTCTAAACATATTAGTTTCTTAAAGTAACTGATATCTGAAAGTTTTTTACCAAGATTTTTATTTTAATGATATTATTTTTTCTGCTTTACATTGTATACGTATTGTGAAGTGAGCTAAAATTAATGTTTTGGTCCACTCATGCACAAATAGCTAAAGTAAAATGTGCATCAACAGTTTTAGTAAAGATATTTGCTATCAAACAGCATGCAGAAGGAAGATTACAGACAGTAAATATTATATTTATTTGAAAAGAACCTGGTGACCTGTTTTGTGCTGTAAAATTCTAGCCAATAAATTGCTGACTGAAACAATTTCTCATTCGAAAGCTTATGAATGAGCTTATGAACAATGTATTTGTTGACAAGTTTGCCTAAGTATTATATCTCACCAGAACTTGGCTCTGTCGTGACAAGAAAATCATGAGAAATAAAAAGATTATTATTCCTTGGCATATTAAAAAACAACTATATTTGTTGAATGAAGTACGGTAGTCAGAAATAATGTAAAATTAGTTGCTTGGTAAATTTAGAGACCATGTTTGAGCCCATAGAAAATATGCTTAGATGGAGACTGTACTGATGGATGTTTCCTGTTTGTGTGCGTGAATGTGCATGTGTTGCAGTAAAGCCAAATCTGGTACTTTCCAAAGAGAGACCGTAGCGTTTCTGCTGCTCACGCATCACTGATGACGTAACTCTTCCACACACCCACACAACACTTGCTCTGTATTATACCCACACATCTCACTCATGCTTTTCACAGACTGACATGGTATTCAGCTCTCTGTTCCACGCTGTGTTAACAATGGTGAATATACTGAATAACACTGAATTGTCTTCTGTTATTACAGTCCAGTCGATTCTGTGGATTGATTTTTTTATTGCTTAAGCATAACAAAATGGTAAAACTTAAGAATTAAATTCGTTACAAATGCAAATGTTTGCTTGGGAACTGGAAGAGACATGAATGCATACTAGTTTTTGGTATTAGTATGATATAAATGGAGGAAACTATTGACTGCTGTAAAATGACATGAATCAAAAGACAAACATAGATAATGTGGAGGTGCAAGCTTCTATGGATTATGTGTCTTATTGATGGACTGAAAGAGAAAGACAATCTTCTTGCACCTGAAAAACTACTTGTTTCATACCACAAATTGCCAAGTGTTTTGAGTGCATTACAAAAATCTTGGCCAGTTCATCCGTTAATGATTTGCAGTTTTGCACAGATGTTTTCCTCTAACAGGAAAAATGTATACAAAGGAAAACAGGTGGTCTGCAATCAGTGCATAATTATAAAGTATATGCACATTAAAAAAAAGGAATATCCAAGGACAAACAAAGATGATAGACTGAATACTAGATTATGATAGGTGATCTGCAATCAGTGCATAATTAAAAAGTACATGCACATTTAAATAAATTGGAAAACTTTGAAAAAGTTCCATATTTTTCTCATTTCAAAAAGTGAAACTGAAATATTAGATTCATTAAAAAGAGAAACACATTTCAAGTCCTTACTTCTTATAATTTTGAAGTAAGAGCTGATGAAACCAACAATTTGGTTTCTCAGAAAATTTTAATATTATTATGATCAATAAAAGAAGATATTTTAAACAGAAATATCAGTCTCCTGAAAACTGTTTACTCAATACTATTCTGAAATTAATGACCACACACACACACACACACACACATATATATATATATATATATATATATATATATATATATATATATATATATATATATATATATATATATATATATATATAGATCAAGAAGTTCTCATTTAACCATTCTTGACTAGACTATATGTGGATTGTATTGTACTCGCTCACTGAGTGAGTACAAGATCGCTACAAAGCATGGCTTTGAAAACTACTCTGGAAAACAGTGCATCATATCTTTTAGTTTTAACCTCCTGATTGAAACAGGACCAAATCTACCCTTTAATAAACCACAAAACACGGGTTTCAAAATGACTTTAATGTTTCTGATGTTGCTCTCATGGCTCGACATTATCCCTCAAAGACTCACGAACACCATGATATTTTAAAATGTGTCCACAGCCACAAATAAAATAAGTAAATATATCCGAACCACATCACCTTCAGCTTTTCACTATTGATCAAACGTGACTCTGCGGGAATAAATCGCCTGTCCCTTTTAATTCTGATTTCCGTGCGTGATATATATTGTGATCACCTGTCAGATGCGGCGCCTGCGCACTAGAGCGGGAGGCGGAGTGGGGCTCTGTTTGCTCTCAATCTGCTGCTGCCCTGTGCCCTCCATCCCTCTTGCTTAGACGGGCTGACACTGAGCGGGAGTTATCCGACGAGGACTGAGGAGGATGGCGAAGCAGATCCGCTACCGATGAAGGTACGCCTTCACTGGGCCAGGCTCAGAACGGCACCGCGTTTTAGTGTTTGACATTGTGACCGTGGAGGGTGAAGGATGCTTGGCTGCAGGATGGGAGGGAATGAGAGGGTGATGGTGGACGGGGTAGGGGAGAGGGGGGG